ATTTTGATTAAATAAAATTTAAATGATTAACATGAGTAGTTTTATTTTAGGCAGCTATTCCTGACTACATCATCCTGGTTTACCCCAACGACATTCGGCTTTTTGATAGAGTTATACGATTACATAGGTAATTGTCGCATGTATCTAGATACATCTTGTTATGAGTGCACATTATTAAATCATGTCAGTTCATTCCAAACTTTTTGTATGCCTTAAGCGCGAGCGCACATAGGTATACTCTACTGAGGCCTGATAAATCACGTCTACATGGTGGGTAAACACGATAACTAAAAAACTATTTACCTTTTAAACTTCATTTTTTCTGAGTTATTTTTGTGACCCTTCAAGGTTATAAGTTATAAGTTTAGTACTGATGTCATAAAAGAGAGACGAACTAAAATAACGTGCTGTCAAAACATTTATTTACGCTTCAGTAAGGTAGATAGCTCCCTTGAATATTGAATATTTTCAACCAATATTACATCATTAGCTGTAGGCGTATTTGGTGTATAAAAGGTACTTTACAGGCTTGTAGAAGTACCATTTAATTAAGCTTAATACTGAACAGTTTTTCGGAATCGAACCGACGTAACTCCCAGAAACAGAAATTTTCTGAGTAGAAAACAAAGGTGTAGACATATGCAAATTTGTTTGGTCTGACAACAATCTGTATTGCTATGAGAAAAGGCATCTTGAGCCTGTTACTAAATGTTGAATATTCGGAAATGTCAGTCGGTTCCATGTGGTTAACAAGTACAGTTAGGTAAATACTGTAAACTAAAATAAAGTCTTCGTTCAGTGACTGTTCATCACCAAGAAGAGCAAATCAAGTCGAACCTATTTTGACGCCAAGAGCTTCATTGCATTCATGAAAAACCCAAATTCGATGACCCGAATTTTTGTCGAGCACGTCAAGGTGACCCCATATTCTTAAGCCAACCAAGACTTTAAAATAAAGAGAGTCTATAAGAATGCTTCACATAATATGTCGCATAGTCAAATTTATTAGTATTGTAAGTAATGATGGAATCAGTAAGTCAAGTGAATTTTGTCTCTTAAGTATGTGTATTACAGAATTCAAGTAAAGCAAATCTGTGTCTGTATTAAAAGCCTTAATAATAAAATGATATAGTGTTTTGTAACAAAAAACGTAGTTTTCTGGCTGAGTTATAGAATTAACCTTTATTTTTATAATTTTAATTAACAATAAAATGTAATTGAAGCTGACAACGTTCTAAATGTAAACTTGGAAATTCCCAGTTCGATAGCGAATAATATTTAGAAAACAAACTAATGAGTTTTCATAAAATGGCTAAAATAAAAAGATTTTTTTCTCTTCTCTAAAGACATTTTCTTATTTCAAACGGAAGCACACTATGAATGCACATAAGCAGCTCGGGACTGCGGATTAGACTGTAATGGCTTTTATTTCCCAACGCGTAAAGAAGCAATCATTTCAAAATAACCTTATTCATCTTCGCACACTTGACCTTAGATGCCAAAAGTTTTTATATATTTTTTACTACCCAAGGCTTGATTACTGAAAGATGTACAGATTATTAAGAGCGTTTCGAGAGGATACTAAAGTCATGCCTAGACGTTAAACAGATATTTTTATTTTACGTTCAGTCGTAAAAGTCGTAATAAATTATTCCGTAGAAGCTATCAAAATATTATAATCATATAACTAAATTGTTATTACAAAAAAAAAAAAATTACATGTGCTGTCATACTGCGATTTTAATGAATCGCGACACGCGATCTGAATCAATACCAAGTGGTAAAAAGGGTAGTCAAAAAGAGACTAACGTCAGAGGACTACAAGCTGTCACAGCTGTGATTTTAATTAATTAAGGAATACCCAGTATTTTGGTAGGCGACAGCATGTCAAAGGTTTGGCGTTTTATTGTGATTATGTTTTACGGTATCTACGGTATTTATTTATGGTATCAGGACAGTAAATAAAAGAAGAAAGTCTGGACATGTTGAAACAATTCTAGATGTTTACGACAGCACTACCGGAAAAAGAAGACAAATTACGTATTATTTGTACTCTGACTGGCCAAATAATGGACCAATCATCGTCCATTGCAGTAATAACTAGATATAAATAGTTTAGATTTTATAAACTTCATGTTTAAAAGCTATTAGAAGAAATGTGTTATGAACACTACGACCTTTTTTATTCAATTAGGTTCATATGAATTCAGTATTTTCGTTCTAATTTTGAATTTATAAGCCGTAAATAAATGGTTGCATTAGTTAATTAATGTGAGTAATTAATTTAGAAAATCTCCTGGGCATACAAAGCTTCAGCGAACTGATAATTGCTTCTTTTTACAATAATTGGACCGTTGATGAAAGTATTTAATTGTAAAACCTAGTAATTGACGCAGTTAGCATCCAAATTAGAATAACGACCCGAACTCTTATGACCTTTTTCAAGGGTATAAAAATACAAACCCCATCTTAATGAAACCCTGGGGTAAACATTCCACTAACTTTTCCATCAAATCTACTGAGTGCTGCCCGCTATGGATGTACACAACAATATGAACGCAGTGCTGCCCACTTTAGTTTTGTTCTTTCAGCAAAAATCTTAGGGAAGGTAATATAAATTTGCCAATTCGATCAAGTAACGTTATAGAGTCGAGCGCCGCAATTTCGTAAAAATGTTTGAGCCAGTTGGTTTCGTTCTACCAAATATATTTGCTATGGTGGCGGGATCCATTTTCCAGACTAAAATCTCTGATTTTACAGTACTGAGACAACAAACTGAAGTGCTGAAAATCATGCACGTCCTCAATTATACCATCCATATCAGGATACTGAGATCAGTTTAACAATGAGAGCTCATAATAGATGTTATCTTAAAATCATGTAAAGCGTAAAATGGAACATTGCAACCAAGTAACAGATTTAATTCTTGCACTAAAAAAAGCTACTTTACTTATGTAAAATATTTTTGATCCAAGAAATAGAATATTTAATTCGGATTTAAGCCCATGGAAAGGCATAAATTAAGTAAAGAAGCTTGGCACTACAGATTCGCACTAGGTTGCGCTGTAGTACCAAAACTTATAGTATACACTGTGTGTATAGCCTCCGTAAGTAACAGTTTGATTTTTCTCCAAATGTAGTAGGAATTATCTTTGCATGTGGAAGAAAGCACATTTTTTGAAGAAAGTAGTTTTTTTTCAGTCTAGACTGATCTTCAAAACTGAAATAATAACATGCGCATCATTTTATTTACAAAAAATAACAATAGTAATTCTTATTTTAAATATTAAGCGCTGGGATTTTCCTTTGTTGTTGAAGGATATTTTTGACACTGAATAACTAACAAATTTTTCCTTTTACATTGCGCATGTACATCATTAAATTATTAAATTTCACAATTATTTAAATCCTATCTAGGTATTTACTTAACTAAAGGCTGCCAAGTGCAATTGAGTAGCTTACATCATAAATTCATAATAATTTAGACTTATATTTTAGGGACCATTATAATATCAAATCACATCGAAAAAGATTTCAACCTCTATAATTAAAATAATTGGATATCTTAGTCTTTACGAGCATTCTTTCAGTATATATCAGAAAGCTTGAGACAACATTAGCGCAAGTCAATAATTACAAATGTAAAAAATAAAACTAAAAGAAGTTTTAATCAGTCTAGTAAACAAACGAATATCGAAGTACGTGCATTATCAAAAAACCATTAGCCACCGGCCATTGCACCATTGCACCACTGAATCTTTCAAAAGTTCAGGAACATACCAGGGACGCTCTCAATTTCGAAACTTAAGATTCCAAACTCAAAAAAATGCATCATTTTAATTTTTTTTTCACTCTCAACGGATGTGTGACACTTGTGTTAGCTTATTTGGCTCTATGGGCTCTCACAAATTTATAAAAAATGATAAAGAATTTGTTATTGTAAATACTAATTGTTGATAAAAAATAATAACGTCATCGGACTGATATGGTTGTGTGATAGCAATAATTAGTTGTTATAATGAGGAAAAAGTTACTAATTAATTATGCGTTTATCAATAACGCAACGTTATGGATATTTCATGCCATAAGGAAAATGAAATCATATAAATTGACGTTCCCGAACTAAATATTTCAGTTAGCGTTGGATCGTCCTTAAACTCACTCATATTATTCCAGAACCTGCTACTTGGCATTATAATTACAATGGGTGGCTGGAATTCGAAAAGACTTACCCGTGCGAACTTCATGAAATATTTTGAAGGTTTTAATTCCTGCAATTTAATTTGCGACGATCATAAGAAAATAATAAACTCCAAAAACCAAAAAAGAACTCTGTGCCTCGTTATTCGCCGCTGATAACCACCAAGAAGGAAGAACCGACTCTGATCACAATCTCGTGGTCCTTTCGAAAGAAGAAGGATTTTCCAATTACTACAACGCCAGCTATATTGATGGTTTCAACCGACCGAACGAATACATTGTCGGGAAGTCGCCGACTTCAAGCACAAGTTCAAACTTCTGGCAAATGATCTGGGATCATCAAACTGAAATGATCGTCTTGCTCAATGACCCCGAGGACGATGGAGACTACTTTTACTGGAGTCAAGAAATACAAACATCGATCCAGTTCGGGAAGCTGACGGTCCATACATTGAAAGTGCTACCTCATTTTAGTTTTCAAATCACGTTACTACTTGTAATACATGAAGACGGCAGCACCCTGCTCGTCAATAATTTTATGTACAAGTGCTGGCGGAAGCACGAAATTTCGCCCGTAGAAAGTGAATTCTTTAATCTTTTATCTATGGTATAGTACTATATATGAGAGACAAGAAATATAAAAATAAAGAAATATAAAGAGAGAATAAGAAAGTGAATTCTTTAATCTTCTATCTATGGTGCAACTGTACTATACCATACCATATATAGTACTATGCCATAGATAAAAGATTAAAGAATTCACTTTCTACGGGCGAAATTTCGTGCTTCCGCCAGCACTTCTACATAAAATGATTGACGAACAGGGCGCTGCCGTCTTCATGTATCACAAGTAGTAACGTGATTTGAAAACTAAAATGAGGTAGCACTTTCAATGTATGGATCGTCAGCTTCCCGAACTGGATCGATGTTTGTATTTCTTGACTCCAGTAAAAGTAGTCTCCATCGTCCTCGGGGTCATTGAGCAAGACGATAATTTCAGTTTGATGATCCCAGATCATTTGCCAGAAGTTTGAACTTGTGCTTGAAGTCGGCGACTTCCCGACAATGTATTCGTTCGGTCGGTTGAAACCATCAATATAGCTGGCGTTGTAGTAATTGGAAAATCCTTCTTCTTTCGAAAGGACCGCTAGATTGTGATCAGAGTCGGTTCTTCCTTCTTGGTGGTTATCAGCGGCGAATAACGAGGCGCAGAGTTCTTTTTTTGTTTTGGTGTTTATTATTTTCTTATGCTCGTCGCAAATTAATTTGCAAGAATTAAAATCTTCAAAATATTTAATGAAATTCGCACGGGTAAGTCTTTTCGAATTCCAGCCACCCATTGTAATTAAAATGCCAAGTAGGAGGTTCTGGAATACTATGAGTGAGTTTAAGGACGAACCAACGCTAACTGAAATATTTAGTTCGGGAACGTCAATTTATATGATTTCATTTTCCTTATGGCATGAAATATCCATAACAGCACCATAAAAGTAAAATTGTTACTATAATTGCAAATTTATGTAGTATCGGGAAAAGGGTGTAAGCCGATACTCCCTCGTGTTTTAGCATTTAGGTATACTATGTAAGTTAGTTTTAAGTAGTATGAAAGAGTGCAGAGGGGTGGAGAAAAGATGTTGAGGACTGAGGGTCATTTTCTGCCCTGAGGAACGCAGAATAATTGTGGCCGACGACGAGCTAATAAGACGTACGTTGCGTTATTGATAAACGCATAATTAATTAGTAACTTTTTCCTCATTATAACAACTAATTATTGCTATCACACAACCATATCAGTCCGTTGAAGTTATTCTTTTTTATTAACAATTATTCTTTACAATAACAAATTCTTTATCATTTTTTATAAATTTGTGAAAGCCCATAGAGCCAAATAAGCTAACACAAGTGTCACACATCCGTTGAGCGTGAAAAAAAAATTTTTTAAACTAATGCATTTTTTTGAGTTTGGAATCTTAAGTTTCGAAATTGAGAGCGTCCCTGGTATGTTCCTGAACTTTTGAACGATTCAGTGGTGCCATGGTGCAATGGCCGGTGGCTAATGGCTTTTTGATAATGCACTGTACTGCGATATTCGTTTGTTTACAAGACTGATTAAAACTTCTTTTTTACTGTTGAAATGTTTGGGAACGATTCTGAATTCATGTTGATATACTTTCTTTAGTTGGTATACTATCTGTAGTGGCGTAGTGGATATGCGCCGCGGCACGCGACCGTTGTCGTTAAGCAACTTTCGCAAGGGTCGGTCACGGGATGGATGGCAGGCACCTTAAGCCCTTGGTCCCATTAGAATCGTCAATACCCGCCAATCCATATTGGGCCAGCGTGGAGGGTCATGGCCCATGCTCCTTACCCATTTATAAGGCTTGAGCCCCTGCAGTAAGGGACGAAATAGAGGGCTGATGATGATACTATCTGTCATATAGTTAGCGCTAACTAAAGATATTTAGGTTTTAACAGAAAAAAAATTGCAATATAAAAAGTTTATTACGATTTCAATAAACAATACTTAAGTACTATGTATATACATGCACCATTAATATTTTATGTACAGGCTTTATATTATTACACATACATAGCGGCACGTCAGTACATATTGTTAAATTTCTGAAATTGACTTTGAGCTACATACGAAACTTTAAAGTTTACAATAAATTGGAGAAATTTGACAGGTTTTAATAAGACAATGTGCTTTTGACTGTACCTATATTGAGTTACAATTAACGCCATGCTACAAGAAAATATTATTTCTCAATATTCATCTGCGCTTATTTTTAAAAATCTTTGCAATAACATACACTTATGTACATACTTGTTTAATACTTCTGATATAAAAATAACATAAATTTCTGCTCTTTGATAAAAGTATAAATGAATCGACGAGAAAAAATATACAAGGGATTTTAGGTGTGTTCCTTTCACAGGGAACCAATAAAGGGGTGGTCAGCAATAAAGAAAAAATATTATAGATCGCGTGGAGCGGTTAAGTTAACCCAGTTACGGCCCGCCCGGTCTTTCACACCCCTCACAAGCATGATTGATGTCCAAAGGTTATTCTGACCCTAAAAGGGAAAGTCAATTAATTTTCTCGACGTTGTTATTGTGTTTTGTTTGATGAACCGAAATTTGGTTATTGTTTTACAAAGGAAGAGTAATATTTTGATGGCCGCCTAGGTGTATGACAACCAGAAATGTTATTACCTGCCTATGTAGTTTTATTTTTATCCATCAGAATATTGAGAATTACAATGTTATTTTCTTGATATTTATATAGTCATTAAATATTAAATTATTTAGCACCGGTGCTTAAAAAAATCTATGCTATATTAAAGCTTCAGTATTTTGCTTATAATGGAAGACGATAACTATTGCATTGTATAAGATTCCTAACATTATTCTATATAAAGAAATATTAATAATTTTTTAAACTATGTTAAAATTTAAATCATTTATACAAAAATAATTAAAGCACTCTTCGGAGTTACAATAGCAACAAAAAAGAAAATATTCTTAATGTAATTTAACTAAAAATAAATGATACATTTAATATCAATATTATATAAACATTATGAAATTATTCTTTTAATATTACGTTTACGTATCATTAATACTTGTTCTAATTTTTATTTAATATAATATTTATAGCTCGTTAATATTAAATTATTTTTACATGAAAAATCTGGTTTCACAATCCGAGAGTTTTTTTTATTACAATGCATAACCACATGCGCTTGCTTGAAGTGTTCATAGCAATAATTATAACAACTTTGAGCAAATGCTAGCAAAGTTTTGAGCAAATACGTGCATGTTCGGCGGTTAATTAGTGAATCGCGACTGTCGCTCGCGTTGGTCCCGATGGTCGGAGAGTAGGCACGATGGCAGGTTCTTCTGGCTCTTCTTTTGTGGCCTCTCTGACCCCATGTGCAAGCGAAGGGTCACTTTTGAAATAAATAAATTCTTAGTTTTCCTATAATAGTCCTAGAGATAAGTTATATTTTTATGGATTCATAAAATAATTAAACACACTCACAAATTGCAAAATATTGCAAACATGATCTGTGTTTTATATTTTAATACGTATTAGTAAAAAAAGCTAAATTATTTAATGTATGTTTTACGTTCATAGGTATCAAGCAGTAAAAAGACACATGCAAAGTATATTACGGCATGAAATATACTCAAGTAAAAATTTATGTACTAACGTTTAGTTAAGTTTATATAAAATCTACTGGATTAACGGTCAGTTGCACAAACGTCCAATAAGGTTTAATGACGTCTTTAGGCTCTAATTAATGTCAAATTTGTATGGATAATGTCGCTTAAAACTAATGAAAATTTTAATGGATGTTTGTGCAATTGGCTGTAATACTCGTAGTATTAAAAACGATCAAAATATTTACAGATCTACGGAACCACGATAATTAAAATGGATTGAGGACCATAAGGACTGATAACTATTCAATATTTATTATTTTCTAAGAATTAATATTTTAATTTATAATATCCTATTAAAAAAAATAACTGGAGAGACAGAATTTCAATTTTGTTTTTTTCTATTTAAAAAGTTTCTCAGAAATATGACGTTTTGTTAGTTAAACCTACAAAATTATGTATACTATAATAATATACTCGAAATAGCTACTCGGAAGCCAGGTCTCAGTTTAAACAGGTTTCCGTTATCGTGAAGTGATAGGTGCGTATTCTAATCCGTAAATCGTCCTGGGACACTTATCCGTAATCGTAAAAAAGTAAGGGACACTCCGTAAATCGTTCTTCATCTTCGAAGTTAAGAGTACCTACACCGTAGAGTTTATAGTACGTAGGACCCACAATGGAGAGGCTCACACCGCCCTGTTGCTAGCAGGCAGCATAACGCACATTCCTTGCAATAAAAACTACATCTTATTCTCTACCTTATATCCGCGAGATGCCAAAAGTAAATGAAACATTATTAACCAAAGCGTATGCTCAATGCTGTGGTCGATACGTATTAATTTTCTTAGAAGAGCCGCCAGTTCGCATGTACGCGCACTGGCGACGCTTCCAAGTTTCTTAGCTGCCTGCATGTTGTAATATAAGTTCACCTGTGGCCAACTTTCTAATTTTAAAATCTATCACAAGCCCTTTCAAACGTATAGCGGTTGTGTTCGCTTTTGGAACGAACGATGATTTGAATGATATAAATGTCATAGACAATTCATTTCGTTTGACGTTTCCCAATAGTTTTCAAAGATATTTGTAACTATTACTTTGCTTAGATACTTCCGATTAACGTCAGTTATACATTATCGTTATTGAGTAGCTCGGTGGCGTAGTGGATAAGCGCCGCGGCCCGCGATCGTAGTCGTTAAGCAACTTTCGCTAGGGTCGGTCACGGGATGGGTGACCAAAAATTATTATCTTGAGCTACTCCGTGCTTCTGAAGGCATGTTAAGCCGTTGATCCCGGCTGCATTTGCAGTCGTTAATACCCTCCAATCCGCATTGGGCCAGCGTGGAGGGTCATGGCCCATCCTCCTTAACCATCCATAAGGAAGGCCTGAGCCCCTGCAGTGGGGACGGAAAAGGGCTGATGGTGGATGGTGGATACATTATCGTTGATTTCGTTCAAAAAATCATATGTCAAATAATTGTAGCGTAAAGTTCGTGAATATCATTCTTGTCTAATTCAAAGTGATTGTGATAGAACTATAATTCGACGATCAAGCCACTGTTTTGGTTGACATTACAGAAGTTGTTGCTATGGCATCCTTACGACATATTAGGGATAAAGCTATAGGTTTCTAACTATCGTGGTTCAGAATTAGTTAACTAAGCTTTTAAGCACTCACCGTACTGCGTAGGCTTAAGGCGGTTAAGGGTTAGGTAGCGCTACAATCCGCTATATTATCACCACCTTGGGGAAATAAGGAATCAGAGTTAAAATTCATCTTTCAAATTCTAGCTTGGTAAATATTATACACAAGTCAATGCATCTTTTGTATATAAATTCCACTTTTTGTTCAGCTTTGATATTTTGTTACAAATATAGTATCGAAGAGAGCAGCAGTGCTATTAATACACAATGTTTAGCGTCAGAGTAAATTTGCGGTAAAATTGCAATTTTAGTATTAGTCCAAATTCATATTTTACAGAGAATAAGCAAACTTACTACCTTCTTGTAGTAAATATTACTCCCGTAGAACCTTGTACTAGATTAACCTTTGTTAAGTCTCTATTTAAAAATATGAATTTTGACTATAATACTAAAATCAAATCAGTCTCAGCGTAAATTTACTCCAACGCCAAACCTTGTGTATTAATAACACTGTAGAGTTTTAAAGAAA